ACAATAACAACAACAACAATGATTTTAGCATCAACAACAACAACAACAATAGCAACAACAACAATAACAATAACAACAACAACAACAACAGCAGTAACAACAACAACAACAACAACAACAGTAACGACAACAACAATAACAATAACAACAACAACAACAACAGTAACGACAACAACAATAGCAACAACAACAATAACGATAACAACAATAACAACGACAACAATAACAACAACAACAATGACAACAACAACAATAACAATAACAACAATAACAAAGATAACAATAGCAATAACAACAATAACAATAACGACAATAACAACAACAACAATAACAATAACAACAATAACAAAGATAACAATAGCAATAACAACAATAACAACAACAATAATAACAACAACAACAGTAACAACAACAACTATTACTACTACTACAACAACTACTACTACTGCTACAACCACTACTACCAAAACAATAACAGCAGCTACTACTACTACAATAGCAACAATAACACTAACAATAACAATAACAATAACAATAACTGGTAATGATATTAATAGTAAACATCATTTGTATTTTTCGAAGAAAAGTACGAAAGAATGAATGAATAATATGAAGTGGAAGAGATATGTTATAACAAATGAAATATTTCATTTAAAGTTTTCAAAAATTTTAACAAAAATTTTGCCATATGATGAAGAAGAAGAAGAAGAGAAAGAAAAAGAGGAAGAAAGAGGAAGGAATTGAAAAAAGTATAATGAAAAAAACTAAAAACAAATGATAAATATTAGTGATAAAATAAAAATAAGAAAAGTATTTTATGTTCGAAAAAAAAAAAAGTTTTTACTCTTTTTGTTTTTTGTTTTCGTTTTTTTTTTTTAAAACTTTTTGGAAGAGGATTTTCTTAAGAAATATAATGACAAATACGAATGGATAATGAAAGTTTCATTTTCAGTTAGTTTAAACGAATGTCTTCGTGTTTTTCTTTTCTTTTTTTTTTTTGAAAAAAATATTTGCTGTAAAATTATTTTAAAAAATCGTTGTTTTTTTCTTTTTAAAAAGCAAAAAAAATATTTATTTTTGATATAATTAGAAAGAATTTCAAAAAAAAGGAAAAATTATGAAAAAGGAATTCTTTTTTAAAAAAAATTTTGTTTTTAAATTATTGCAAAGAATTAAAAATGACAAATTTTTGTTTAAAAAGTACTCAATTAAATATACTCAATTAAATAAAAAGTACTCAATTAAATATGTTATCAATTTAATATACAATTAAATATATTTTAGCAATAAAAAATTATGTTTTCCACGGCAATTACCAACAAATCATTATTAGAATGATAAAATGATAAGTGATGCTAATGTATTTGATTGGACAAAATGATAAGAGTGATAATATTTAATGATATTACATAATGAGTATTGACTAAGAGATAAACAAAATATAGTGATAATATTTGATAACATTGCATAATGAATATTATGGGATAAACAGATAAACAAGATATAGTGATAATATTTGATGATATTACATAATGAGTATTGGTATTTATCAATAATCAAATATCATATATTGTTTGCTCAATGTATTTTCATATAAAAGCTATGTTAATCATTGAATATATTTAAAAAAAAAAAAAAGAAATATTTGAGATAGATAAAGATCACTGATAAAAAAATGATAAAAAAAGTAAGAAGTAACAAAGATATGAAAAAATAAATAAATAAATAAAAAAAAAGTATTGACAAATCGATACAAATAGAATATTATTAGTTTTTTGTTTTTTTTTTTTTGGTGATAACACTGATATTGTGAGATAAAAATAAAACGATGAATTAAATATAAACATACTTTTATGATATTGCTCAAATGACTGAATTCGTTATCATCAAAATCACCAATATCATTTTCGATACTATCACTACGATTAATTTGATTTCGTTCACGTTGATATTGTGACTAGAAATATAACAAAAAAAATTAAATTAAATTTAAAATTATTATTGGAATAATAATTAAATTATTACTAAAATACATATATTGATATCTTTTTTCATTACAAAATTATTTAATAATTTTGACGAAAAAAAAACGGAAGAGATAAGCAAAAAATTTACAAATGATAGCATTTTTGATTAAAAGTGATAAAGATAATAAATTTTACTTCTTGATAAGCTGGCCTAATACGATGTCGTCTTGGATATGGACTTGATGATGGACTTTGTGAACGAGGTCGTAATGGTGGTGTTGGTGGCTTATGTTTGATTATATCAGAAGGCCTGTAATTGCTAGTTTTATTATTGTTAATTTAAATTTTTTTTCTTTTTAAATGAAGCATACTAATATTTACACGCAAAATTTTAAAAATATTAAAGGGAAAAAAAAAGTTTTTTACTGATTTTATTTAGTAAAAAGGTAAAAAAACAAAAGATTTAATATTATTTACATGCAAAATTTTAAATTGAAAAAAAAAGACATAAACAGGTAAAAAAATTATTTGAAATATACGTCTAACACGTGTAAAAAAAATCACGTGTAAGACGTAAATAAATAGGGGAAAACTTTTAAAAAATATATGTAAAAAAAAAAACGTAAAAAGGAAAAACATTATTTGAAACATACGTGTAAGTACGTGCAAAAAAGTGAATAGAAAAAAGTAAGTAAACAGGTAAAACAAAATTGTTGAAAAATATGTATTAAAAAAGGCATAAGTAAGAAGTATATTTGTAAAAAAAAAGAAAAAAAAAACGTAAGTGAAAAAGGGAAAACAATATTTAAAATATATGTATAAATAAGCGTAACGTGTAAAAAAATGACGCAAATAAATAGGAAAAAAAATAATTCAAAAAATATTTGTAAACAAAAAAAAAACCAAACGCAAGTAAGTAAGAAAAGAAAACAATATTTAAAATATACGTGTAAAAAAAAAACTTAACGTGTAAAAAAAAAAACTTAACTTTCGTGGTAAAGCTGAAGTTGATAAATTGTTTGAGTCTATCTTTCGAATACAATTAACTGATTCATTTGTAGTTATCCGATTATTATCATTATTATCATGATATGGTATACGTATATTTTGTAAACGTTCCTCTTCTACACGATATTCAGTTAATGGATCAACGGATTGTCCGTAACTTTCTAGGCTATACGTACGTTCATCATTTTCACGTGTCATTTGCCTATCATCATTTACATGTTTTAATTCCTATAAAATAAATTTTTTTATTTTTCATTTTTCATTTATTTCATTTTTTTTTTAAATCATTGAAATTCTTTTTTTTTCTCATAAAATTATTATATATTTTTATTGCATATTTTAAATAGTTTTTTTATAGTTGAAAATTATTAAAATATTTTTATTGCAAAAAAAAAAGAACAATCAATT